GGTCTGAGTTTGTATTTTCTGATTTCTCAACTTGCTCAGTTTCGTTTGTGCCCTGTGAAGCAGGGCTATTTCCTGCCCATTTTAAGTACCTGTTTCAGCCAAAACCGGTTTGGCTCAGTGGATAGAGCGTCGGCCTGCGGACTGAAAGGTCCCAGGTTCGATTCAGGTCAAGGGCATGTATGTTGGTTGCGGGCACATTCCCAGTGGGAGATGTGCAGGAGGCCCCTGATCGATGTTTCTCTCTCATCGATGTTTCTAACTCTCTATCCCTCTCCCTTCCTCTCTGTAGAAAATCAATAAAAAATATATTTAAAAAAAAGAAAAGGTACATGTTTCAAACAGTGTAATGTAAAATTGAGGGTCTTGTGGGCCACTTATGTTGAAAGTTAAATTGTCAAAAAAGAAAGGAAGAAAGTTAAATTGTCTTTGTTTTAACAGGCTGACAATGGATTTACTCAAAACTGCTAGTGTGAAGTGGTGGACATGCCTGCGCATCTTGGCTGAGATGCGGCTTCAGCTCTGGGTTCTGGGAACCTGGACTTCCATAGCGAGTTGTGGTGAAACAATAATTGGATGGAGGAACCATCCAAGTAAGCAATTTCATGAAGCAAGGAAAGGAGACTGTGCAGGAGATGCAAATTAGGTCACCATCCATAGTGTTGTTGTTTTTTAAATACAGCAATAACTTTTTTTTTAAATATATTTTATTGATTTTTTACAGAGAGGAAGGGAGAGAGATAGAGAGTCAGAAACATCGATGAGAGAGAACCATCAATCAGTCGCCTCCTGCACATCCCCCACGGGGGATGTGCCCGCAACCCAGGTACATGCCCTTGACCGGAATCGAACCTGGGACCTTTCAGTCCGCAGGCCGACGCTCTATCCACTGAGCCAAACCGGTTTTGGCTACAGCAATAACTTTTACAAAATAGATGTTAATTGTATTGTCCTTTACATATTCGCACTTGAGGGGAATGATAAACTCAAATACCTTTCTTGAGGTACACTTTTGTGATATTGTAATTCATTTGTCATGGACTTTTCTGTATAGAATACTGAGAAGGAAAATAGGGGGGCAACTTCGGGGGCTTACGGCCTAATTCAGTATCTATTAAACTAATTTTACAAGGCCCATTCTAACTGACTTGGGTGGAGCTGCAAAGCCCACCCCAAGGGGCCCGCCACAAGAAGATATATATACACTGAATGGCCAGATTATTATGACCACCTGACGTTTGTAGGCAAATTAGTTATAATTTCGCGCTGAAGTGGCTAGAGGGCCAGC